TGCACATCTGGCTTCTACTGGTTTATCTGAAACTGTTCTCATCACTGCGATTCATCAGTTGTTGGTCACCTCCAGAGTCTTGTAAACTTTTGCAAAGTGGTAATTGTGACAGTGAAAATATTCATCTATACAGTCATCACCTACTGTGCATAGTCAGTAAAACTTTGAGCTAGAGGTTGAGCTGTAGTTATTTGATGCTGTATTCCCTACACTTTTTGTCATAGGTCAGAGATCTTATATCACTAGCACTATAAATGAAGACATAACATATGGTGCTAAACTACTAAATGCTAAACTACTTCTTTAAAATTTTCTCTATGTTGTGAGGTAGCAAAAAAAAATTCATGTTACCTCTAGGATATTCTGTTGTTTGTACATGAAGACCCATGTTTCTGCCTATTATGGGTCTGCATGTGGTTATTATTATAAGACTAAACCCAACACCTTTTTTTTTTTTTTTTTTCCAAGCTGTTAGGCAGAGATAGGCATTGGCTTGGCTGACTCTCCACATGTCAATGGCAAGATTTATGACTCTCCTGTCTGCATGCAACACATTCCTCAGTTTGATTACTAATAAGACTATCCTGAATACAAGGTCCATTGGAAATAGAGGAAAAAGATTTCTTGGGAGGGAGCAGCATGACTCAGTACACTATAACTGATTTGAGAAATAAGTTCTCTTCTACAATAAAGTATAGCTGAAGTACAAAAAGTGCAAAGACAATCCTTTATATTCATTTGCTTTCCTTTTTTTTTTAAAAAAAAAAAATCTAGTGTTATTTCTGATTTATTTCCCAGTATTAAGCCAGTAGGTGTACTTTATATACAATATTTTATTTAAAAATATTCAGTGTTTATTGCTACTGTTTACATATTCAGTAATAAAAATGAGAACAGAGGAGTAAGACCAAGGCAGTTGATGACTATGTATTAGGTTTGAAGTGTATCTCGTGCAACAACAGAGGAAGCACTCTATTGAATGTTCCCATTTCTATCAATGCCAGAGCTCATACATACTTGTGTCTCTGCTGAGCATACTGAAAATATACATACATAGACTTCCACATATACTTAACGGAACTCTTGTCTGGAGAACAAGGAGTTGTTATTTTATGACTACATTCTGAAATTTAGAATGTAGATGTGTCTCTGCCTAAATTTCTGCTCTATGTAAGTGTGCAACTTCATAGTTGTACACAAAATTCAAGTAGATTAATTAAAAACTGTGATACCCTGAATGCAGTATTAAGTTGGTCAAAGTTAGCAGCTTCTGGTTAGTACAGGGGAGCTTGGCATTCTCAGCCATTTTGCGTATTAGTAGGACATGGTGCATTTTAAGAACATAGTGATTCAATGCTTTTAGTGCACAGATTAAGATTGAACCTAACTCTTTCAGCATCCAAAGTATTAAATTTTGTGATATTAATTCCTCACTGCTTCAGCAGACATAGAAATACCCTGAAACTGAATTGTAAGTTTGACATTGTTCAAGTTAGAAACTAATAGAAAACAAGTATATGGCATAATTATATTCTAAGGTTCTTATTTTTAATTCAACATCCATCTAGCATAAAATGTTAAAAAGTAGTAACCACAAGCTATATTTTCCTTCCTCCCAGGAAAATACTCTAATCAGCACGACAGAAACAGATTGTTCTTTCTACCTGTTTTCCTTAGGAATGGAAATTTACCTTGATGAAGACCGTGTGTTGCCACCTTTGAGGGGGTGCATTTATCATGAAGACAGAAAACATGTGAATGAGAGGAGAAAACGCTTAGTGGAGCACATGAGAAATTATACATGCTGTTGCCACTTACAGAAGTTAGGGGCCTTGGCATTTTCATAAAATTGTCTTTTTATGTGATGTTATCAATCCCATTAAGAATTACATGAATATGGGAGGACAAAACCATCTTTATTTTAGATATCCTGGTTGCATCTTTGACAAGGTATCCCCTATCTCAAGACTTTGAGATGAGGAGAATGAAAAATACAAGAATAAAAGAGCAAGATTGTATTGAGTTCCAGGCAAATATAAATTAAGGAAGAAAATCTTTCAATGGAAAAAAAATGAGTATAAAACTTGTATTCCATGGCTCTGTTTTGCTGAAGTGCCATGTGCTTTTTGCTGCAGGGCACTTGTCAGTGGCAAAGCTCTCAGCCATTCTCTGGTCTAGTTCCAGCCCAAGCACTTCTCAGACTGGGGGTCATGACTTTGCACAGGCAAATCAGAATTCTCTTGAAATGGAGACCCCTTCCTCCCTGGTGCTGGTCCTAGAGCTGCAGCATGTTTCTCCAGGGAAACTGTGGTGTATAGCCAAGCCAGGATGTCATGGTTCAGACCAAAGTCTGCCCAGCCCAAGAGGTTCTGGTTGCTAGCAACCAGTGGCAGGTGCCCTGGGAGGAGCAAAGAAACAAGTCTTCTGTGATGCATGCCCAGCAGTGCCTAATTTAGCTGTTGAAGTAAGGCAGAAGGTGCTCTTCTTTTCAGCTGCAGCCACAGAATGTGAAAGATGTAGTGAATACCACGAGGCTAGCAAAAATTCAGGTAGGAAGCTTGGGGTCCCTTTTCTGAGTGGAATGTTTCAAGTTACAGAGTGGATGACACCACTCATGAGTCAAGTGTGACCTTGTGCTTCTCATAGGGACTAGAAACCAAGCAATTAAGAAGGGCAGTGGCCATCAAAAATACTGTTTGTCCTGTTTTGTTGAGAGTTGGTATAGTTGGACTTGATCTTGAAGGTTCTTTACATCCTAAATTATTCTGTGATTCTAGTGTAAAAATTACAGAGAGAAGAAAGGTACACTGTATTGCATATTTCTCTTTGTAAATCCTTTGTTGCTTAGGATATCATATTTTTTTACTGTGTGATATTATTTATTCATAATTTCTTTGAACAAGTGTTTTCCAAGTCTCTAAGAAAATCTATAAAATCTGTCTTAATTCTGATTATATTTATGGTAACTTTTTGCAATTTTTCTTGTGTCTTAATATCTATATTAAACACACATCCACTATTTTTTAACTTTCTGCAACATTTTTTTTAAATATCATAGCTTGATTTATAATATTTAGACACTATAAGCCATAAACAGCAAAAAATCTTTTCTACCAGATTACATTCTCCCGAATAACTTATTAAATTCAAAAAACAGATTGCCTCTCATGTTAATGGCATATTATTGTTTAAACAAGTATGGTTAATTTTTCAGTTTGAAAATGTACTAAGTTCATATTTGCCTTTTCTTTTTAGCTTCAAATTACTGTTAATATTGATTATCTATTATGTATATTCTTATATGTTTAATCAGGTGAATCATTCCTTGCTATATCTGGATTGTTCTTAAATGTTTGCCTCTCCTGTAAATGCTAGTTTTAAAATAGTTATTTGACAAGTCTCATTTCAGTAGTTAATACTTGTCGAGCATCTGTCCCTAGGGCACTCATGAGGAACTTAAAGACTCACGTGCTGGGAAAAAAAATAAAATAAAAATTAACACCTGTTCTCCATATTCTGTTGAGAAACAGGCTGGACGAATCAAAAGGTTAGAAATCTGAAAGGCCATTTTGTGTTTAATAATATATGAGAGGGAAGGAGTTAATAACTTAATACACATTATTTCTGCTTTAGAAATGATTTGTCTAGTTGGATGCTCAACAAGGACTTTTTCCAAATGTAGGTTGTTTGGTTGTTTGCAAAGTTTGGTTTCAGTTCCTACGTACTTTGATGCTGAGAGTTTCTTTCTGAGAAACCAGGATTAAGACTTTTTTAGATAGTACAAAGCCAGGTAGCCACATAACTTTCAAAATGAATGCGTACACATTAGGAGAAAATAAATGAAAAACATTTCTTGCAGTGATGTAATTCCTGTCTTGTCCTAGTTACTACTATTCACAGATACTATTAACAAAAGAACAGAAAGGGCAGTAGTGATGCTGACCTTTATTTTTTTTAGACATTCTATGCCTTGGGAAGAACATACTTTCAGATTACTTTTATTGACACCATATTCTTGGCCTTTTGAGAACAAAGAATAATTTATTATTGCAACTTATATGTTAATTTATATTTCATGGGCAGTGATATCTTATTACGAGATGAGAAGGACTGATATATAACAATCTTGTTTGTTTCGTATAAGATTAAGGCAGTTCTAGAAATTGCCTGTCCTTTTAGGTGTGTCCTACTCGGGCAGTCCATTTGGGGATGCTTTCTACATGTGATTGACCTTTACGCGGACTGTAGTTGAATCCTCTATCTGTTGAAATTAAGATTAGCATGTACATTGAGCTCAGTGCAGATGAGTATAGTTTGAACCTCTGCTCAACATATATACATATGTTCAGGTACACAGTCAGGCTAAAATGTGTATAAATCTTCTTGACGCAATCTGAGATGTCCTGCTAATATTCTTCTTTGTGAATTGCATTTCCAATGAACTTTCCACTTTCTTATCTTTTTCATGATACTATATAATGCATAGACCAGTAGAAAACAAGACTCCAGAAATCTTGCCTTCTACGTACCTATGATCTAGAAGTTGTGAATGCAGTTTTTCAGGTTTAAGTATGTAAAATAATAATTACATGTTCTTTGTCCCTACACTTTACTTCTAAATAATGTGATTATTTTATATTCTCATAGTGGTTTTATTTGTACTAGTAAAGAGGATGTCTTTAAAATAAAAGCAACAAAAAACATACAAAATACCCAAACAACAACAGCAAAAAAACTCAACTTATTTTCTTTAAGGTAAGTTTGATTAATACATACTGCTGTTGGGTTATTGTTTGACCCAAATATCACTGAAATCATGGGATATTTTACACTAATTGCACGATATCAGATTTATTAGGTTAAGAATATCTATATCCAATATATAGGCTAGAGGAATTTTTTCCAAAATAATAATGAAATTGTTCTTTTATGCCATTTTGGCTTACTAGTGTTTTTTGTTTTTCCTTTCTTTCTTTTTTCTTTCTCTCCCTCACCACCAGGAGGTATTTTTGAGTGTGTGGAATCTGGTCCAATGGGAGCAGAAGAATTAGCCTTCAGATTTGCTGTGAACACAATCAACAGAAACAGAACTCTTCTGCCAAACACTACATTAACATATGACACCCAAAAGATAAATCTCTATGACAGTTTTGAAGCATCCAAAAAAGGTAACTTTTTGTGTATTTAATTTCTTTAATTAGCAGCTAAAACTCGTGTGCTTTAACTACCTGAAAAAGGTCTTTCTATAAAGATATGCAGTGACATTGTACAAGGTTGTAGCTGACATTAAAGAAGTGTTTTAAATATTGCCCCTTGAAAGCTGTAATGGTAACTGCTTGAAAATTACATTATGTCAGCTATGTTCCCACTACCCTGTCCAAAATCTATTTCTTTAAACATTTGAAATCTGAAATTTCTTTTTCTTGAGTTTTGTGATTAGGGTGTTTTTGAGATTTAGGTCTTCTGGTATCAGAAAACATTTCCCCATCTTTTTTTTTTTTTTTTTTTTTTTTTCCCTGGGAAATGCCAAGTGCTTCCAACTTGCAATGATCTTGGAAAAGGCTAAGACTTCAGTGGTGTAGTCAAGTCTGTATGCCATCAGGCATATTTTCCAACATTACTGGAGGAAAGTCTACAAAACCCTCTCATTCATTAAGGTGCTCAAAATCTGAATGTGAATTTTTTTATGGCTTCATGGCTAAAATCTCGTTCTCAGATATTTACCAAGGCTCCAATTCAATTTTAGGTATTCTATCACTTTAAGTGCATCTTCAAAAATGTCTTTAGCATATGTGTGACTGACATATTTTAACAGGCTTGTGTTGTGAAAGAGAGCAAGTAGTTGTAATTTTGCTTATCTGATGAGAACAAAGCATAAAAATAAGCTTGAAAATTAAGTCTTGTTTAGGATTGTTGTTACCAGATAAATGTAAAAGCATCAGTTCAGATGATTTTCAAGATTATAAAATATTATGAACACTTTTTCCTAAACTTTCAGATCTTTGATTCTCACGAACAATTGAAGTTATGAGCTATTGCTTTACATTCTGGTCTAAAACACGGTGATGCAACATGGGAGTTATACTGCATCACTGCCTTTTTGTAGAAAGTTGAAAACCCAGTAACTCGTATATGTCCTTTTTTGATTGAAAACCCAAAACTTTGTGACAGAACTTGAATTAAATTTTGCATGGTATTACACAGTGTTTAATGGTAGATGTTTTTATAAATTGAAAAGCAAATTTCATATGAATGTTTATACGATTGATTCATATGAATCCTTAACAAGAAAAGGTAAACTTGTATTTGTTACGAGAGATTTGGGCCTTAAATCTTCACAGAGATCTGGTCCTCAACATGTCACTCTGACTGAAAAACAAGAAGAGATTTTTTTGCTAAGTAAAATGAAAACTTCTGATGCTACATTAGAAATGCTAGCTAGGGAAAAGCTGCTATGTCAGTGCAGATGTATACGAAGCACATCTTCATAATGGAATACAATCCTGATTAAAAATCAATTTAGAAATGATAAATATTTTTGCCTTTTATTTGCAACATGGGAAGCTTATCTAATTGTTTATTTCTCAAAATTAACCATTTCAGTATAAGGCTGTTGTTGCTAGATATGAGAATAGACAGTCTCTGTGTATGGAAATAAGCATTTAAATTCTTCTGAGGTGCTTTGATACATGAAAAATATTATAGACTAAATATTTATGCCTAGCAAAATAATTTATTTGTAGCAGAGAGTGAGAAAGGAAGTATGCTATTTCTTTAATGGTTATTTTGAATAGTTATTCTGATGAGATAAAGAATGTTCTGAGAGGCTGCTCTTTCCATCTCAGCCAATAGTAAACAAATCCTTAATTCTGTCCCCATCTTCTATCTGATTTGAATGCATTCTGCCTTGTGAAATTTAATTGAATAATTTGTCCTCATTCCTGAATTAATAAAAAGTGAAGAAATCTATTCTGAAATTTTAATTTTTTAACAATCTTCTGAGATGACAACTCTACTTCTAGACCTTACTTAGGGGTTGCTTGGAGATTGCAAGCTAACCTTACTATTGCTAACTATTGATAGAATGAAATAACTGATGCTAGAATTACAAAATGTAATTGATTGGATATATTTATTGTTCCTGTTTGCATCTTGCATGAGAATGCAAATCTTTATTTTTAACTAGTCATGCTGTATCAAAATCTGTGTAATTTTTTAGTACTCATAGCTTTTTGCTTCATCAATTCACAGCCAACCATATTGATGCTGAGAGGTACTTTAGTCCAGAATCGAAGGCTAAAGGCTAGCCTAAAATGGTTCATTTTATTATGATGACTCCAAAGCAGAGTTTTAACTGTGAGATTGAAACATTTAACTCATTCCGTGGTTAATGATTTTGTCCACTAGTGACCAGGCAGGTGCTGCATCAAAAAACAGCCTGTTAAAACCTCTTACTAACAAATACTTTTTAAGCTGAATACAAACTAAATATCAATGGGATTTTAAAATTACTGTGTGAAGGAGCAACCTGAAAGCAAGATGATATTTCCAAGATACTGTTTCAATGAAGAGTAATGTGAGTGCAAACAAAATATCCTTCAGTGCACTACAAAAATTGGTATGCATCTGATGGAGTTGTATTAAATCACATGTGAAAGCATTGCATTATTCAAATCACAGAAACAGAAAGAAAAAAAAAAAAAAAAGCCCATTGAAAAGCCATCTGGTAGCTATTGCTGTTGTTAGTGATCCCATTTACTGACATTTGCATAAAGCTTGTTGATTACTCTTAGGAAGGGCAATATTAGCATAAATGTTTTTTTTATCAGGCTAGTCATTTAGGCCTTAATCTGATGCTTAGTAATACAGTGGAGATCTTGTGTGTATATGAGAAGTTCATTTAAACCACTGATGCTCTGCAAGAATAAAAAGGTGTGCCAGCATGATTTCTTGAAGACTTGTAGTATTTTTAATCGTGCTGAAAAGGACAGACATGGCACAACTGAAAAAATTAATTTCAACTTATCGAGGAAAAATAATGTAGTAAAATGTGTTTCTACTGCTTGTTTCCTTAGTTGTGAGGGACAACAACGGTGGTGTAAAAATACTAAGTAATCTAGCCTCATATAAATACATTCATATTAGATTATGGAGACACTTTCCCTTACTTCTCTCTACCAAATAAGATGTTTCCTTAGAAAGGCAGAATCTGTTGAGTTTCAGAACTACATGCTCATAAAAGTTATGTCTATAGCAGTGATCTGAACAGGAGCAGGGCATGGACTGAGAAACTAGTCTCCAGTATTGCTTAATTTTTCTGGCTTCTTTCTGCAATGTGCCAACTCATCTTCTGCAAGATAATGCTGGAGCATACTGTAGGAAATAAAAAAGACAAGATACACAATTATACACAATTGCTGGCCTTTGTGACTTCCACTGACATAGAAGTATTTATTAAATGTAGCTGAGCACTATTTAGAAGTTAAGTGTTGCTATTCATCAGCTCACAGTGAAAACTTAGAAATGTATTCAGAAGTTGAAATCTGTTTGTTACAGAAGAAAGGAGTTTTCTCAGAAGTAAAGTTATATTTCATGGAGAACCTTTTATTTAATACGAATTGTGCAATACCTTCTGGCACACTGCCTTCTTTCCTCTCATCATTGACAGACTTCTGTCTTCTCTTCAGCCTGTGATCAGCTATCTCTTGGGGTAGCTGCCATCTTCGGACCATCCCATAGCTCCTCAGCTAATGCTGTACAATCAATCTGCAATGCTTTGGGTGTTCCACATATCCAGACCCGCTGGAAACATCAGGTGTCAGACAACAAGGACTCCTTCTATGTCAGCCTCTATCCAGACTTCTCTTCACTCAGCCGTGCCATCCTTGACCTTGTGCAGTTCTTCAAGTGGAAAACGGTTACTGTTGTTTATGATGACAGCACTGGTAAGACTAAATCATGCAACTAGGTGCAGATATGATTCTATGAATATATATTCATGCATACAAGAAGAATGAGGGGTGTCAGTACTGTTACAGCTTTATTTTAAGAAAGCTTAATTACAAGAAATTCCATTGGCAAGGTAGAGTGTAACAAATAACACAGATTTGTTAGCATAAGTATTCTCATAATTATCCTTCACTTGCTGAATTGTGTGTATTTGAGATTGCAACTGTCAATAAATCTGTCACGCTCTATCTGTATTTTCCTCAGTATCTTCACGGTTGCTAACAGCTATGTCTTCTGATTTTATTTAAAACTCAGTTTCTGAAGAAAAAGATGATAACTTGAAAGATGTAATGGATTGGCTGGTCAAATAGGACAGCTACATTTTAGTGCTGCTCTTGGCATATTAGCTAAGTTAGAAAATAGTTGCCATATTTGTTTGGAATTTTGGTAACTGCATTTTCAGAGAGTCACAGAAGGAACTCTGGTTTTGGCTCCCATGAGTTGAAAGCGGAGGAAATGTGGATGCTTGTTTTGCAGATGATTCACATCGTTTAAAAATGAACTCCTGAATTTCCATCAGAAATACCCCAATTTGATACCGTTCCTTTAACCTCACTCTAAAACCTCTGGTTTGCTCTGGCAGTGGTATTTGGTTTGAAATTTCAAAAAACTTGTCCAATTTGAGGCTTGTCTGCTGGAGGTTAGAACTACCAGCTGGTAAGAGGAAAATCTGTCTGTAATGGAGGATACAAGGAAGTCATTTAGCCAGATGAGAGATTTAATATTATGGAAGAGTTAACAGTTTCTTCCATCGTTTTTAAACTGACTCTGACAAACCCTTCTCATAATTCTGTGTAAAAGAAGGTTTTTGATGATGTTGATGATTCAACAGCTAGTAAATGGTGAGGAGGAAACAGAGATGGAAAACAAGAACACATCAGTGGAATTCAGAGGCTGTCTTTCTAGAAGTTTGGCTGATATTACCAAAGACACAATCAAACTTCTGGTTTCAAGTTTAGCATTACAGGCTTACAGGAAAAAATAATCTACTTCATTTTTAATTTTTAATTTTATTTTATTTTATTTTTTAACTCTCGCTTTGAAATAAGACTGGAGGTAAAAAGGAATATTCAAATCTTAATCAAGTGAATAGTGGAAAAGTAATTTGTGATTTAGTTAAATGGTTATAAATTTTTATTTACATAAATTTGAAATATTTTTTATTTAAATCATTCATAGACTAATTTTAAAATATCCAGAATGGCTTTTGAAGGAGACCTGCTTCCAATGTTCAGGATCCTGTAATGTAGAAAACAGGATAACTTCGCACAGGAAAGAATGGAGGTCGTGTCCTTTTGAAACTGGGAACAGAGATGCTTCTAAAGCGATATAATCAGTAACACTAGAGAGAGTAAAGGTCAGGTTGAATACAGAGTAAAGAGTAACAGTCAAGACTCTACAAATGTGGTGAAGTAATAATTAGTAAGAATGTTACTTCTCGGTAAAGATTCAGTAAGAAAAGATTCAGTCTGTTACAACAAGTATAGAGTAATAAAAATGCTCAGAGGATGGGCAAAGGTGTTAATATTATGAAAGACGTACTGGCCTGGTACTATCTTAGGGCATGGTGAAAGTTGGTTAGCTGAGTCTGTTCTTTCAGGGAAAAATAGTTTGTCTCCTTTTCCTGTGAATCTCTGTTTGAATCTCCTGTGAATCTCTGCACTAACTTTTTTTTTTGGCTTCAAACAGTATCTATGTTCTGCTTCCTTCTATGTCTTCCTTTTTCCCTTCATCTTAACTCTTATGAGACATTTTTCATTTAGTCCATCTGTTGTACAAACTAAAAATTGGAATCAGGCTCTTGAATATATATATATATATATATATATATTTATTTTTTTTTTGCTAGTCTGAAGACAAGTATTGCTTCCTGTGATCATTCTAAACTGCAAAGTATGTTCCTTTCAACTAGAATTTTCCTTAAAGATCTGTCAGGAATTAACCAGAGATCAGTTAGGATTTTTTTTTTTTTTTTTTCCCTTAGAGTAATTTATAGTTAATTAAATACCACTAAACTGTCCCTGGATACTAATTAAGTCCTTTCAGTTTACTGGTTTGCTACAGTCAATTGTCTTTAGGAGAGAAAAGGGGGAAAATGACGGTGTGTTCACCTGCTGCATGATCTAATAGTTTTAATTGATCTCAAAAAGGCAAAGTATCTTCTTCAAAATATCAAAATTTCAAGTGCATATTGCAATCTGTTCTAAGAAAAATAGGGCAGATAAATTCTAAATAAGTCTGTACATCCGAAAGTATTCCAAAGCAAAGTATACACGAATGGTTAGATGCTGGGACCTTTAAATTATACTGGCACTTGTACTGGCAACTAATGCTTTATGCAGATCAAGTTGATGTAAACAGAGTTTTGAGATTTTTTTCTTAATTAACATTTGTTTTGGTCTTGAGTGAATGAGTATAAACACCAAAAATCTGTTGTATCTATGAACAGAAGCCAAACTAAAAGCCTGAAAAATGGCTTCAGAAATGAAAATGTTTTCTGATGGTCTTCAATGTTGAATGCAGTGCTTTAAATCAAATGAAGGAAAAGGATGCGATTTTGTTGATATTTTTTAGAATAATATATTAGTAGCACTGATTTGTAAATAAAATTATTTCCTTCTTGGGACCAGCATAAAAATTCACATTATCTTATTTCTATATTTCCCACATCTTATTTCCTGATGTGCTATATCTTGAGGATGTTTTTTCCATACTATCAATTTCCAATTATTGCAAATTTATAATGAAATTGAATGTCTTGCAGAAAGTGGGTACATGGTGATGGAAAGTGGGTGACATTGTTAAAAGATTAAGGAAAGAATTTTGCAACGGGTTCAAAGTAAATCTTTGAGATCAGGAAGAAAATTTTTATCTAAGTATTATATGCTTAAGAAACTTTAAAGATCAGACAGATAAAAAAGCAAGGATACATAGTGAAATGGCCTGAAAAAGGTTGCTCGTATCTTTGTTTTTATGTAAATGAGTTGAGTAACTCCTAATTTATGTGAAAAGCTGTTCTTTGTAAAAACATGTGTGCCTGTTCTTAGCAGAATGAGAAAGAAGAAAGAAAATGAGAATGCTGGACTGAAAACTTGACATCCAATATAATGACAGTGCATTTTACCTAAATGTAGGAAACAAGACTTTAATCTTGGAGATACATAATAACAAACCTACAAAATGACATTGTAGGCATGCAGTAGAATGTATTTCATGGTTGTAAATTTTATATACAAGGGTAAAGTTTGTACAAGAACAGATAATATGCAGAAATAGGGAGAGATGTGTTGAATGAAACTAGGCAGCACGGTGATCCACATTACGATAGGAGACATTTGCAGAGACCAGCCGTGTAATTTCTGTGGATCAAAATCCAAATGAATGACTGAAATATGAAGTGGAGGATTTTTTTCTTACTTCCTTATCTTAGAATCAAGTAACAAAACTAACAAAAGGCAAAGATTTCATCTCAAAAAATATTCCTCATTACATGTTTACAGGAAAGAGGAGTACAGAAAGACACAGTTCTTATTATATTCTTAGAAAGGCTGCAAATTCTTAGAATGTATACTGAAATATTTAACATTTAAAATACTGAATGCGTGTGTGTGGGAGATTCTTCTGATATTTCTGATGGTGAAGAACTGCTTGGGAATGGAAAATGATCTTTTATTTTTGTGTACTTATTTTCTTTTTAATAAATGAGAAAATATATTGAATTTAAAAAAGTGAATGTCATTAAAACTGGAATTTCTGCTGACTAAGTCAGTTGAAGTGTAAAGCGAGGAACATTCATTGACAGCTTCTTAAATAATATTGAAATTGAGTAAAACAAACCAAAAGTTGACAAATGTCCTGAGTTTTCAAATCACTCAAGCAAGAGACTTATTAAACACTTTAAAAAAAATGTAATTTTAGGTGTCTTAGTTATTTCATTTTGAGAAGTCATGGGTAATAGGTGGTGAAGTTCTATAGTCTGTAAAAGTTAGAAAAACTTAGATTTATTCCATGTTAGACATTTATCCAAGCTTTGAAGTGCATTTGTCCTGGTTCCTTAGGTTCACCCTTCTGTTCCTAGTAATTTCTTGGAATCTACTTAAAATTGGGTAGGATACAGTGAGATTTCTTTCTTTATTTTATAGGCCTGCCCCATGAATTTCTGTCCATGGTAAATGCTGCAGTGCTTACATTAATATACTTTAAAGGTCTCAAGGTGATGAGTAATTCTCTATTTAACTTTATAAATATTAAATATAAAATTTCCTCCTTTGACAGGTCAACTTATGTTTTAGGTAAGGAAATTGCAGTAGATATACAGGTTTCAGAAAGTCACACTGTTCTAAGTTGCTTACTTCTATGCATATTAGAGAAATAGTATCCTCATGCATCCCTGCTACATGGAAGCAAAGAAAGAAGAACAATAAAACTCTAAATGTTGTAGATTGGTTATGATTTTATAGCAAAACTGAAAGGACATATTTACAGGGTACAAATTCTATTGAACATAATAATTACATGTGCAGGCAGTAAGCTCACAAGTTGCAATACTTGAGAAAGCAAAAATTGTGTTAATTTTTCTTAATAGTTTTGTCTGAAGAAAGATGAAGGTTTGTCAGATTAGAAGCTTATGAATATATTATGTGTTAGAAAAAACTAAAAGGGATTAGGTTTAATCTAGTAAATAGAAGGTCTTGCAAAGGAAAAACCACACAGTAATAATCCTATACTGTTTTTCATGGCATAGTTATAGAGACATTGACATTTTTATAAGAAATGATATATCTAGAAACATTTAGGTTAGAATAAAATGTATCGTTGTAAGACTGTGGAATCTTCATCTCCAGAATTGCTTTTTTTTTTTTTTCCTAAATGGCTATTTTCTCTTACTGCCTTTGCTAGACAGAACAAAACAAAAATGACAAGTAACTGTGAGCTC